CGGCCTCGCCACTGCCATTGAGACAGCAATCCATTACAATTACATTAAATTATCAATTACAGCCTTTGGGAAGACACAGGGCCCTATTTTAACGATCTGAAACGCAAGTGTCAAAGCGCAAAGCACAAGTAACTTTGTGGACGGATCCCGGCGCTGTTGCTATTTTCCCGGCGGGATAAATGACTCTTGCGCCTGGCGCAAATCTAAAAGGGGTTGGTCTGAAGTAGCTTCATTATTCATAGGTGTGGTTTGGGCGTAACGTGAAATAAACCAATCAGAGCGTCATCTCACATTCCCTTTAAGAGCAGGCGCGCTTGTTCTAAAGCGGATTCCTATTATAACGGCGGATTTGCCAGGCGCGCGCCAGGAGCGGTTCACAGCCGAGGAGAGCAACGTTCTCGTCAGGGCCGTAAAACACAGAGAAGTGACATTGGGGATGGAGAAACCCACGCAAATTAACTTCTGTTAAACAGGCGTATGATAATTTGGGTAAATGTGTAAGCTACATGTTTGCTTTTATAATAAATTGTCTATCTATCTATCTATCTATCTATCTATCTATCTATCTATCTATCTATCTATCTATCGTAATAATGTATGATTTGCAAAAATGAAAACTGCTGCTTAGATGAGAGAATCAAGTGTATGCGCGTTGTGCACACGCTACATTGATTATGGCCAAGCATGCGCCCTTAAAATAGCATAATGAACAACGCGCAACGCGTCACTGACTTTACACTAGGTTTTTTCTGGTCAGTGGCGCATTTGTTTTATAGAACAGCAAAATAGCATGAGGGAAAGTTTGCGCCGGAACACGCCTCCTCTTTGCGCTGAACCGCCCCGGGGAGCGCAAGTGTATTTCTTAGTTAACCGACGTGTGTCTGTGGAGGGAAAAGTCCGCTTTGCGCGGGTGCAAAATAGGAATGATACATGCGTCAGTGTACAAAGTCATTTGCGCCTGGTGCAAGATAGGGCCCATAGTGTTTTTGTAAGCTCGTTGTTTTGGTTGTTTTAATGGGTATGCATAAAATGTAATAAAATCTCACAAGTTGATACCGAGAAACCAGACATAATACATGACATCTCCTGCCATTCTTCTGGCACGATCGTTTCATTACTAAAATATCTCACCACTCACTGGTGCGCCATTGTCACACTCAATCTCTATTCCACGTTTGGTCTAAAACGCATTCGCCCTCATGTTTTGCCACAGGACAGCAATAGCATGTAAGTAAATCACACAGTCCCTCTGCTTTATATCATTGGTGTGGTGTCCAACTACAGCCCCACATTGTCACTTATTTTGTACTGACCTAAGAGTCAAATGTCTAAAACTAAAAGGAAAACTAATCATAATCAATATTTTAATAATTCAAAGTAATCTTTACAATATATTGACACAAAATTTGGCCTCTGCTTAGAAAGTTCATCCTTACACCTTTTAAAATGTTCTTATAACTTAAAAACATTATTTTAGAAGCCTGACATATGATCAATTGTAATTTGTATCTATATATTTTTTTTTTACCTACTACAAGTCTTGTCTATGTTCTAGTTGTGTTTTTGTTATTAGTACGTTAGTAGTTTGTCTTTCTATTATAATGGGCATTACAGTCGTTTAATTTTATTTTTAGACCTACACAATTTTCAGAAATTACCCGCTGGCTAAAAGGTCTAGTAGGCCTAGCTGACTCCTGACAAACAGCACCGAACCACCATGATTTTTCTAGCAGACCATATTAATATAGTGTGTTCTTATGGGAAGTACATACATTATTGCCTTAAAACATATTCATTTATTGAACGAAAGCATAATAATAATCGTATCCATTGGTGTCTGTTGCAGGGGCGATTCTAGGATTTTCATTTTAGGGGGGCTCAGCCCCCAATAAAGGGTATGAAAAAAAAAAGGTTGTTCATGGTCTAATGCTCATTATTAACTAGTTACATTCATTCATCCAGTAACATGCATATGGCAGGGTTTTATAATCACTGAGGTGCCGAATGTGAGGTGTAGGGGGGTTCGGGGGCATGCTCCCCTGAGAAAATTTTGATTTCTCTGATCTACATATGTGCATTTTAAGATGTTTTGAAGGCCAAAAAAATTGGATAACAATAGCTCTAAAACCATGTGCGGGCAGCTGTTTTTTTTCTCACCTCATCAGCATCACACTCTTTTCCTCTTTGTTTTTATCTGGCTCTGTCTTTTCCCCTCCTAAAGCTGAGCTTTGAGTGATTTTGACTGAAAATGAGCTTTTCATTTTTGTCTGTCAGTGAAGAAAGTAAACATAGGGTCGACTGATTTGTACTAATTTATGAATCATTTTCTCAGACAAAGCTACCAGGAAAGCTAGGTAACTAAGTTTATTAAATTCATTCACAATATGTACACATTCATTATTGATCATCTAGGCCTAATACAGGGCCGTAGACAGGGCTTTATAATCAAAGAGGTCATAAATTTGTTATGGGGTTAAACATTTTTATTTCTCTGATATGTGCATTTCAAGACGTTTGAAGGCCAAAAAAGGATAAGAAATAGATTTAAAACCTGCTCTCTCCTTATCTCCGTCACTCTGTCTTTTTCTCTCAGTCTCCTGATCTTGCCCTGTCTCTTCCCCTCCTAAAGCTGAACTTCTTTAATTTACTGAAGGCTACAAATTGTATTAATTCTCAACATGTACACATGCATTATTAATCTTGTGCCTATGAAAACGGCTTTGTTAATGTTTCTTGTCCCCTCACAATGACATAATTACACGTTATATAGGCCTATTTTCAGCTTTAAATGGTGAAATTAGACAAAAGTGTATTAGTTTTCTAATTATTTTTGTCATTCTTTTAACATTTATGACCTAAAAAAACTGTCAAATATAAATAGTTTAGTTTAGCTACTTACATTTTCTTAACTCGCACTTGACCGGAAACTGAAGCGTCAGTCGTGCTGCTCAAATTCGCGCTAGGCAGCGTCTGACTGTGAACATTAAGCCCGCCTACTTTGATTTGATTGGTCATCTCAAATATTCTGACATTGACGAGCAATGAAATACCAATGAGGCTCAGATGAACACACACATACACATTACACACTACACACACACACACCCTGTCCTCTGTTTCTGACGTGCAGAGCGCTTGGCGCTGCTGCGGATTGAAGATGAAGAACACTCTGAATCTGATTATAAACAAGACTGAAGCGAATACGAATGTGTGTAGCCTACATCACAAATGTTTAGGGGGGCTAGGCAGAAGTTTAAAAAAGGGCCTATAGTGACGCCTATGGTTCTCACTCTGCGTGTGTTTCGCGCTGGATGACGGTCGATCGTGCCGAGAGGAGAAGTAGAAGAAGAGAAGAGGATGACACCCAGGGGCGCCGCTAAGCGGGGAAAAGTTAGGACGATTCTAAGGGCCCACACACTTTTAGGGGCCCCAGAGATTGATTTTATTAATTGAACGGGTGCAGTAGTAGGGGCCTTACCTCATATTTTTTCATGGGGCCCAAAATCCCTGGCCGCACCCCTGATGACACCATTTGCTAAGCGGGGATGTTTTCATTTTCATCCTTAACACATACATTTTAAACCACAAACTACGGAGTATGTTTTGGACATTATTTAACCTTGTCAAAGACGAACACATTTTTTTGAATAACAATATTTCTTACTCCAAGTTTTAGGGGTGCTGAGCTCCTTTTTAGGGGTGCTGAAGCCCTAAAATGAGCTAGCCTCGCCCATGGTCTGTTGGATAGTGTTATATATTTTTTTTTATTGTTTTACTTTCTCCTCAGTTTTTTTGAAGAGGCACTTACCTTTTGTCCTCGGTGAAAACGCCCAGCATGACAGTAATCCTGTTGTTGTGAGGCGTGACGGAACATGGCGGACCTGATGCTGTCATTATTACTGTGAACTGCAGATTCGTGCAAGCACTTAATTCGTGCACGGTGTGAAACAAGCGACTTTGTTCAAAAAGTGTTGAGGTAAAAGTAGGCTAGTTTAAGCAGTGATGAGTGGCAAATCTGTATGAGCTTTTGTGTTTTTGCAGTAGGCTACACGCATGAAATTGGGTCTGTCATGATAGACTAAATATTAGGCTATGAGGCACTAGTTGTTTAAATGTCTCTTCCATTGTAAACCGCAGTCTGGATGATGATGGGAGGATCCCTGCAGCGGTTTCTTTGTCTCTTTCATTCGCTGCCACGCCCATGTTTCATGAACTTCATTAGGCTACAGACATACGGTTATTTTAAAAGATCTAATCTTAATTCCTAATTACCTCTAATGAAATCTGCACATTTCAGAATTTCTCCAAGCAAAGCTCTTTTCTTTTATACAAACTCCTCTGTATCAAAGTATTTAGAGATATCCTGAGCACATTTAAAGTTCACTGTAAAAAAAACGGGTCATTTTTTTTTTTTTTTTTTTACAGTGTAGCCTATATACACATTTCTATCCATAATATCCCAATGCATCCACATAAATGAATAAATTGATATTACTAATCCTTCAGATACAACAGGTATTATAACAGCAGTTGTCAATATATCAGCTGCTCAAAATATCCTCCCACACTTAGAAATGTCTGTACCTCCACTTTTCAAAGTAGTGACTTGACAGTCAATCTTTCTCACTTTTAACTTTAACTTTTAACTTAACACCCAGTCCAATTTTCTCTTAAATGGTTAGTTCACCCAAAAATGAAAATTCTGTCATCCTCATGTTGTTCCAAACCTGCATGACTCTCTGTCTTCAGCCGAACACATATATGCCTATTTTTTTTTGTCAATACAATAAACACACAATAACATTAACTTCTTTTGTATTCCAAAGTTTGGAATGACATGAGGGTGAGACAATGATGGCAAAAGATACATTTTTTGCGTGAACAATCCACTTACACTAGTCACTGTCAAACATTAAAGCTCAGAAGTTTTCTAGAAATATGAACAATGCAGAATCTGTCATGTGTAGATGCATACACACCCCACCAGCTCTCACACACACCTCTGCTTGAGCAGGGCCACATCTTCGGCCAGGTTGTCTCTCTCCACCTGCATCTGGTCTCGATCGTTGCCCATGAGCTCCATCTGTCTGCGCATCTCTCTCATCTCCTGCTGGCACAGCTCGTTGACCCGTCCCGACGGCCCCTGCTGCTGCTCCTTAAACTGACCCAACTCCAGAGTCAGCTTCGAGTTCTGCTGCTCCAGATACCGCACCTTCTCGATGAAGCTGGCGAAGCGGTCGTTGAGTTCCTGCAGTTCTCGTTTCTCGTTGCTGCGTGTGGTCAGGAACTCCTGGTTGACGGCCTCTGCCAGAGAGAAGTCCACTTTATCATAAGAGAGCCGGGGGCCCGGAGCGCTGGAGCGGCTCCTGAAGTCCACAGAGCGGGCGGGTGTGGAGGAGGAGATGTAACGGCCTCCTACGCGACTGGACACTGGGCTATAGGCAGGCGCCCCAAAAGTGCGCTGATAAGAGGTGCGATATGAGGAGTGACTCATGATTTTGCCTATAATCCTTACTTTACAGAATGATAGACTATAGTGTATCTTCCTCTTCTTCTGGTCCGTGTGCCTGTTGTTATGATCAAAGCTGAGTCACGGCAGGATGTGAGACTGAGAGGCTTTTATACATGAAGCTGTTCAGTTCATCTGAGCTCCACCCAGCCCAGCCCTTTCCCAGTCTCCTGAGCCCCTGATCTCATCCTCTATCATCTATTCATCATTCATCCATACGGTCGGTCAGTCACTCCCTCACAGGCACAACCTGCACTTCTCGGACGGTTTCCATTTGAAATGTGAATTAAAGCACTGAAAATGTCTAATCATTACATTTTTAATGTTAACAGAACTGAAAGCAAAAGGATGAATGCATTTAATTTTTGCATTGAAAATGTAACGTGCTGGGAGAATGTAAGACATTTCCAGGCTTATACCCTTGGACTAGACTGGGTCCAAGTTGGGCTCAGCTGTAGGAGCAATAAACACACATGAAAGATTGATGTGCGCTCACTGAAATCTCCAAGAACATTTTTACAACCAAACACAACATTTCCCAACTGACTGGTCAAATGAATTTGGTTGTAATCATAATTTTCTGGAGCTTTCACTTCAGGGTGCAGACATCTCTCTTTTTTTAATAATTCAATGAACCATTCATAAACAGCAACGATTAGTTCTGTTCTTGTGCTTGCTTTGGGTGGGTTTGCATGTTCTAGTTCTGTTTCCTGTGTTTCAATTTCTTAATTCAACAAATAAAAATATTGTTTAGTCCCTCACAGACAATTTTCCATAATATATAAAAAATACACATAAAAACTGAAAAATGTGTAAGGTGAAGCCTTTGCTTATTATGATGACTACCCCTTTATACATATTTTTTCTAATGAGAGTCACTTCTCTCATTGGATTTGTTTCATACAAGATAAACAAAACAATTACATAAGACATTTTCCAAAATGTACATACATAATTACAAAGGTACACATTTCAGATATTATTTAAGTATCATATACACAAATTGAATAAATAATTACATAGACAAAAATGTGTTACTTTGGAGGACACTGCCACAGTAAAAAACATTTATTTATTCTAATTTAATTTATTATAAGAAATTGACATAAAAGTTGATTATTCAACATGTTGTCTGACAACCAAACCGTAGAGCAATGTAAATCAAGCGTTTGCCTTCTAAAAAGTGAGTTAATTGTATTCCTTTGCTTTTCAGCGAATGTGCCGAGTCATTCTGCAGGAAATGTAGAACTATTTAAATGATTATTTTGCACACTGTACCACATAAACATAACGGATATGCTCACTGTATGCCCACATTAATAATTCAGCTTCCATTCTTTCCCCTTTGCTCCGTCAATAAAGGCATCATGACTGAAATACAGTAGACTTCACATTAAGGCAAGCATATCACATCACATATTTTCTATCATATGTATATATATATATATATTATATAGCACAATTAACACTAATTCTGTGGCAATTAGTGTGAAACCTTGCCAAGAATTTCTAAATATCTCTCTTTTAATGTCTCTTCAAGTTTTAATGCACTGTCACCCCCTGCCCTGACACATTTAATATCAGTTTCTAAGTAAAATCTGTGGGATACTTCAACATTTTTATAGGGAACATGCAAAATTCCCTTTTACATGATGTTTAAACATAAATGTGTGTCGGCAGTGTGCACTCAACCACACTAATGGTAAAAATCCACCCACTGCTCTTTTTTTAATCCCCATAAATTATGAGCAGTGTCTCAGAACAAGCCATATTCAGATTTTAGAATATTAAGCCCCGCCCACGACTGCTGACGGACTCGGCTCATTAGCATAGACCCGCCCACAGTGAGCTGAACACAGTCCGCCATGTTTATCTCCTCGCCAGCAGAGCCGGACAGCAACGGAGTACATTTACTTGAGTACAGTACTTAAGTACAATTTTGAGGGATCTGTACTTTACTCGAGTATCATTTTTGGGGAGTACTCATGACTTTACTCAAGTACATTTGAGAGGCAAATATTGTACTCTTTACTCCAATACATTTCTATCCATAACCGTGAGTACCTGAGTAAAAAAAAAAAAAAAGTAAAGAAAAATCTCGGAAACCCTCAATTTGTTGTTTCCCTCTCAAACGTGATTGGATTGTGCAGGCGCCACTGATTGGGACAGCCTATCAGCAATCACTTTCAGCTTTCCGCCAAAGTCAACTCCATGGTCAGATTTTATATTACACATTAATGTAAGCCAAGCATTTGGTTTGATGTTCTTGAGTATGTGGTGTGTTTAACACAGTCAGGTTCAAATGTGGCAGTGGCGTAGCCATGAGGGATTTCTGATTTCTTAAAAAAAGGGGAGGCAAAATATATTTTTACTGATTATGTGAATTACACTGCGCAAACCAAAGTAGGCTACTACCCAGCGAATGAAGAAGGGTTGGCGCTCAGTCTCCACAGTACATAAAATATTAATTTTGTTTTATTTGATTTTTCGGGTTTGCATTTATGAGGAAAAAACAATGTTATGGACGTGTTCTCCGTTACGGACGTGAGCGCTCTGAAAGCGGCATAAAAAATGCTTTAAAACTTTCACAGAGACATCAAACAGAAAACACAAAACCTTTCTTTAACCTGAATTTCGTTTTGCATTAATTGTATCTTAATTTGAATCAATGTTTCATCAACCAATTGCCTGGGTTTAATAAATAAGAAGTAAATAGCAGACAATAGATAAGAAACGGAGGCGCTGGCACGTGAACTGGATCTCGTCTCATAAATGAATCGAAACTCAGTGTATAAGGTAGCCTACTTGCCTCACACAGACATGTCTACTTTTAAACAGAAAAATTCAAAACGAAAGAAAACAGACTACAGACTGTTCTCTGCTTATGTAATCCGTATGAAATGTGCATTTCTCTCTGGCGCGTTCACTACTGAAGATCGCGAGTCAGCATCGTCAACTTCATCTAGCCGACACTGACAAAGAAAACACTTGTTTATTAACAAGTGTTTATTAATAAACAATTAAAATATCTCCTTGCTATATTTTACATATTCATAATCATTCCTTTTGCCGGTTCTTTGTGACAGCTTTTAGGTGCTTTATTGGCAGCGCCACCCTTACATGTGGTGTATGTGTGTGTGTGTGTGTGTGTGTGTGTGTGTGTGTGTGTGTGTGTTGTCCCCGCATTTAAAGATGGGACCCCCCAAAAATTAAATTAAATTAAATAAAGCAACAAAAAGATGAAAATGACTTGATTTTACTTTTAATTCCTTTTACATTCTCCAAGGTATTAACATTAACATTTTTCATAACTCCATGTAGGACGTTTCTGTGCATAAATGTAAGCACTGTGGCAGTAGATTAGTAATGCAATATTTAGAAAATCTACTCTTGTACTCTTGATACTCAAGTACTTTTAAAAACAAGTACTTTAGTACTTTTACTTAAGTAGACATCTGAATGTAGTACTTTTACTTGTACTTGAGTAAAATTTAGCAAGGGGTATCTGTACTTTTACTCAAGTAACAAAGCTCTGTACTCTGTCCGCCTCTGCTCGCCAGAGCATTTAACGGCAGCATTCAAGTAAGAAACGTATTCTTATTAAAGGTACAATATGTAAGATTTTTGTATCAAAATATCCAAAAACCACTTGCAGAGTGTTATATATTTCTTTCAATTGTGTACTTCCATTATCCTAAATGTTTCCAAGAATTTGTAAATTCAGAGAAATTCACATTTTTAAATAGTGCCCGTCCCTGTTCACTTGTCGCCTGTCAATGACGTAATATCCGCGTTATCCCGGGTTTCCGCTCGTACTGCCATAGTAACCATGGCGACAGACGTGGACAACTGCGTTAGGTCTAGCGGCACGCTCACACTGTTGTTGTTTCGTTCAAACATTATGGACCATGGCAAGCAGACTTTGGGACAAAAGGAGAAATAAAACGAGGATCAATATCAGCATGGCGTTTTCGAGATGCCGAGAGCTCCACGTCCGCGACTAACCGCGACTAACTTGACAGAGACGCCACTCTTGCATGTACTTTATTAGACAGGTGAGCAAATGTACATAAAACTAATCAATGTTATATAACTCAACATGATGAAATGTTAGAATATGATCAGTATGTTATTCTAATGTTGATCTAGCTTACTGCTAGTCTCATACAGCCAACAAACTAACACATAGAATAACATTATATCTTTCAACACACTCAAATGCAGTTTAGTGTGATAGTGTAACGTTAGACCAAGTGAAGCAGTGCTGTGTTACCTCACAAGCTTCATTCGTCTAATAAACTGACCTGTGTGAGTAATTCAGCACTTGCGTGTAGTTCGGTACAATTAACCCTCTGGGGTTCTTCATTTATGACTCACACTCAGGACCTTCGGGTCAAAAATGACCCGGAGGGCGGCATTAAGATACATTTTATTTGAGTAAAATCAATGAAATATATTTTTGTTCAATAATATTTTTTCTTTTCTTTTTTGGTGTTTTGAGATAATTTTATGATTTATAATTAATATTTATGCAATAATTAAGACCCATTTTTTCCCATTGAATATAATAGAAAATTTATATATATATATAATAATAAATTTTTTTTTATTAAAGCTGTATTTCATTTTAGAGTCAAGTCTAGGCCTCATGAAAGCAATTTTTGAAATGAGATCGGAGCCATCTGGTGGACACACTGAGCATTTTTATCACGCAATAGCACATTTTTACCACTAGTGGATTTACAGCTCTCTGTAGAAACCTATGGTAGAAACACTCTAGTGATTTTTGCACATATTGTTTCATTTTTTTCAGGTTGTTGATTTGAATATATAATAACAGATTCTCAAAGACTATTTTTGTCTTTTTTTTTTTAATTTTTAATTATTTTTTTTTTATTTTTTTTTTTTAAATGGTAATTTGAAGTGGCAGTTTTACTTTATAATACATTCAAACCTGGACATTGCATTATAAAGAGAACAAATGGAAAGTATTTTGTCACCCATTGTTTTAAGAGATTCACCCCTTCACTGTTGTGTGCTTTTTTTCTGCATCCTGGCTTTTTGGTAGAT